GTCCTTGAACCCCCCCCCCCTCCATCCTCACGTCGATCTGAGTGAGCCCCTCATCAATCATCCCAAGATCATCAGGGTCCATGTCGGAACCCGACTCATTATCCTAGTCAACAATGTTCTTACCTTTATCCTCGTCGGCCGGAGAATCATCCTCTGTCGGCCTGGAAGAAGAGGCCTCCTCTTGCCTTACAGGCACAGAGATGTCACCAAGCATCCCCTCCACAACCTTCTCCTCCTCGGGACGCAAAAGCACACCCTCATTAGCCTCTTCTAGTTGTGGGGCCTCATAGGTCACCCCAACATCACCGTTGATGTGTATCGTCACCATCTCCCGAATCATGAACTCATCCTTTACTGAATCGATGGCCAAGGGAACTCCCCCTCCTACGTCCACAGCCTTTATTTAGCGGGGCCTTAGGTCCCCATCACGTGGAGAAACCTCATCATCTTCGTGGATGAGTGAAAATAAAGGAGGAGCAGGCGCAACAGCTGAGACGGAGGCGAAGGCAGAGGCGGAAGGAGTAGCAACCCTTCTCCTCCTGAACGAGGGCACGGGCGCCCTGTTCCTTCTTGTAGCCCCCTAACTGAACCTATAAAAAATCATAAGAATTGAGTGCAATGCCACAAGCCAAAACGAAAATGATAACGACAAGAAGAAGGAGATTACCTGTCGAGGGGAGGGCCGGTATGAACTTCTGAAAGAAGCTCGACCGGTCACGAATCACCGTGGTGTAGGGCTCACCTTCTTAACCCAGTTAGCGAGACGTGCTGCCAAAAGAGCAGGATGACTAATGGCTACAGGAGAAGAAGGATTACTCGACCAACTTAGAATGAACAAAGTACTTGAACGGGTAAAAGCAAAAAACACGAACACTTACGTGTTGGTTCCAGGCCTCAGGGAAACCATTAACATTAGCCACAATGGCCTCAGTCGTGACAAAGAAGTAGTCGAGCTAGAAATTTTGACTACCTTTATCATCCATCTTCACCACCAGACATTTGCCCCCACGATGTCGAATGGTCAACATCGTCCCTCTATAGAAGCTAGGTGCGAACAGATGCACCAAGTGCCGTACCGTGATCTTGATCCCGGCAAGTTCGGTGAACTTTGATAGCATCTTGATGACCTTGTAAACACAGGGGGCGAGCTGAGCAATAAAAATATTGTAATGGCGGCAAAACTCCTCCACCAGTGGAAGGAGGGGAAACGAGTAGCTGATGGCGAACAGGTAGGCATATAGAGTGCAATACCCAGGACATTGAACGTACACTTCATCTTCACTAGTGGGGATTAATTCTACATGGTTGGGAAGACTAAACTTGAATTTGAATTCATCCAAGCGCCTTGACGTCATCAATGATTGAAATTTTCTGGTCATATCATCCGGCGGCCATTGAAAATCGAATCTAGCATCGGGGTTATATGGGATGATCTCCTCCACTGAAGGAAGAGCTTCCTCTTCAGCGGCGATGATGGCGTCTTCCCTGTGAACAGGAAATATGACAGCCAAAGGGATAGGGTTGTTATCGTCATTCATAGTAGAAGGAGCATTAGATATGGTTATTTTTTTTGGTAACTAAACAATTTTATTTACCAAGTAATATTTACACATTTGATTCTCTTTATAGCTTGATTTGGACAATAGTCCCAGATTCAGCTATCCCTTCCTTTCCTGCTACTCCTACCTATTCATAACTACCTTTTTACATATCTATATGAACAGTAGGATAGTAGTTTAACTCTAGTAACCTTCTCTTCAATCGTTGCTTCAAATTCCCTCGACAATGTATTTTCTGTGTTAACAGTCGAGTGATTGTTTCAACATTCCTCTGTGTTGCTTGAAAGATTCGTGCATTCCTCTCTTGTCATATATAGTATATGCTTCCAGCTAGTGTCATCCTGTAAATTTCAGCGTTGGAGCTTCTACCTTTACAGTGTTGTTCAGCCCATTCCAATTCTTGATCCCACGTCATCACTTGTCTATGATCCTTCTGCCAGTCCAGCACTGCTGCCCATACTTGTGTTGAGAATGAACATTTGAAGAATAGGTGATCGATAGTTTCTTCTTCTGTGTGACATAGTGTGCAGGTAGTATCTTCCAAGCAACCCCATCTCCTCAATCTGTCCCTTGTTAGTAGTCTTCTGTGTGCAGCCAGGAATAAGATGAATATCCACTTAGGTAACTCAGTATTATTGCATATCAACCTTCTCCATGGTACCTTACTAAACTCCCCTCTAAGTTTCAAGTGCATGGCTTTGGTTGGAAATTTTTTCATTCTCAATACCTCTTCTTCTGAGTAGCCAGCTTCCTCAAAGTATTTCCTGGCTTTTAGTATCTTCTGGATCACCCACGATACTTGCTTTGGTTCAGCTCCCAACTTATGTTATTGCGTATGCAGAAAGTGAAACTGGAGATATGGAAAAATGGTATGAAGCAAGGGAGGGAAATTCGAAAGAGGGTCCAAAGTTTGTAAAGTTTAGGTTCTAGTAAAATAAGCCCTATTTATAGAGATGAAGGCACCAAACCCGAAACGGTTCATCATGATTGTCACAAGAATCAAAGCGGCAGAGCCAATCAAAAGCCACACATGAATCGAGGTGGCACTTCGAGAGCAGGCATCATCATGATATCACTTTTTTTCTTGGACCATATGGTTCCAGCAAATTACCCGAGAAAATTGGGGGTTTGAAATATGCGATCCACGAAAAGCCACATCGCGTGTTTGTCATGACGACCACGACTGCTGCTATCCGCTCATTGAACTCGCCCACGAAGACGACCTCAACAAGCTGAGGGACTAACTATATGGGCTAAAAATTATCATAATTATATGTAGGCCTAGTCGACATTATGAAAGCCTTCGTTGATTGCCATGTGCTATCGATTCAGTTAATCTAGGTCGACGTCACGAGGTAAAGGTGACTCAACAGAGAATGAAGACAAGGACGAGCATTCTCATTAATGAAGCAGTGATGTCTAGTTTTAGAAATAAGGTCCCCTAGAGAATATCCCAACAAATATTCTTCCCCGACTGTACTACTTAGGGTTTTGTGACCCATGTACCCTGATAAATAGAAAGATATGTAGTTATAGAAGGGATTGGACATTCATTGTAAAAAATTAATACATTGACATTCTTTGAAGATTCTTACTTTATCGTAGACATACAAAATACACATTTTCTTCAGATCTTTATCTATCATTTCTCTCACGGTCCAAGGAGGATCCGAATATTCAAAGGCTTATCATCATCTATCTTTGTGAGAAGGAATATCAAAGAATCTCACCATTTTTCTAGTGACTCACATGCATTTATTTACATAAATGTCATTCATTATTATTTACTGCTATTTAATGTTACCTTCTTTGTCCTTGGATCATTGAATATAGCATCATTGTTGCTATTTATTGCTACTCAAATAGTATACATGACATCTCGCTACGAAATCATTTAATCTCTCTATTAGATATTAATATTGGCTAAGATTAACTCTATTTTATTGGAAAATCTGATTGTTTAAATCTAGATCTAAATTTTGGGTCAAACAGTGACCGAATATAAAATCTTATTTTCTGCTCCATTACATCTCCATGCCAATTTTGATTAACGACATGCGTCCACAGCATTATTCAAAGACTAGGATCTATTTTTAACTGTCCCTATGAATGGTACGTTAAAGCATAAAAAGCAAGAGAAAAACAAATGAACTTTTGAAAGGTTCCCCACCGCCCACCCAAGCGGCGGAGGCAATATTTTCGCTAAGGGGTTAAAAAAAAAAGAAAATGTTAAAAAATTTAAAAAGCTTGTGGCCAATAAGAACTAAACCAGCAACCTTATAAAAGTTTTTAACTCTCTTAACAACCAAGCTATGCTTTTGAGTTGTGTCAAAGGTATCTCTAACTTGAGTAAGTGCCAGCCATGCAAAAGGGTTAGCCTGAAGTGGTGGTTTAGCCAAAGGGGGAACGTGCAACGGTTGGATTCAGCACGCTCTTAGAAGAGATGTGGAAATCCGAACGCCTATCCCAAAATATAATATATAAAGGTACAAACCGGATTTTGCTTATATGTACAGTGTAATTTTCCATTGTCCGCTCCCTCTAAATCTGCCCCCTTTAATATGCTATAATCAATTGTTTAGTTGGGTTAAACATGATGATTTTCTATTTCTTTAGACTATTTCGAATACTTTTAGAATCCCACTTTTCCCTGTCCACATCTTAAGAGGCGACAGCGACAATGGCATGAAGCTAATTTGCTTTTGATTTGTGATCATCAAGTGAATACACTTATTTATTTATCAATATTTGCTTTTGAATTTGGAGTGATTATATTGTTTAGTACATGTATGACTGTTTTCTGTCTCTTGTAGTAATACTCTTTCAGAAAGCCGCAAGTCTTACGTCCAATTAATAAATACAAGTAATAGCTCATCAACATGACTTGTATTTCTGACGTGGTGCTAGTTATTTAATCACAGGAAGCCGCAAGTCTTACGTCCAATTAATAAAAAATGTTGCTCCTATAGTGGCAAACAATTATTTTCTTTAAGTGATAAAGGAGAGTCACTCTCGTGTAAGTTAATCTCCTTCTCTTATCGCTAAGTTAGTATATCTCTGTTATGGTATCCATCATGAAAAAAAAAAAAATCGACTTGTATTGACGGATGTGCAATAACATTCTCTTGCTTCATGAACCTAGTACTTGCTACTAGTATTTGAATGACATTAAATTCATTTATTTTAAAGCGGACAACCCGCACCTTGACAGATGGTGATAATAACCTGGCTTTGAGCTTACCTAATTATTCTCTCAAGAAATCGTTAGGAGATATCACTAAATGCAACGGTAAGATGGTTATTAACAATTGACACAACTCAAAAAAAGGTATATGTAGCATTCTTAGTACACGATGGTCAGAGCACGACTTCTTAGGTACAAACAAACATAGTGCTGTACCTACATGCACATTACATCCAACAGAAAAAGAAAAAAAAAGTATACAAACTTAATCACTCAAAAAAACAAAACCAAATTAGCTACAGAGATTTGGTATGCACACCCCACCATCTGGATTTTGTTGTTCCTTCCATATCCGTCCAGTAACTCTAAGTTTCAGCTCTTTCCGGTCACCACCAGAAAAGAAAAGTGCCATGTTACGTTGGATTATAAGACCATCGTGACTGTCTCTCACCTTGCGGTGGCTATCTCGAATACTTCTTGGGGTACCCTCCCATAAGAGCTTTCTACCATTTCCTCCTACCTCTAGACTGTAGCTGTAACTCCGTGCCTCACTTTCATCACCCATGAAGCGTAGAAATGCCATATATACAGGTGCCATGCCAAGCTGGAACGCCTCGAAATGGAGACAGAAATACTGCCCGAAACAGTGGAAGACCTGATAAAGGAGCAACAAGAGTCACCCTGTCAAAATACACTACTTTTCTGAACCTGCAGTGACCATGAACTTGGGATACATCAAGTCATCAACAATAACATATAATGGGATACAAGTATTTAGTGTCTTGGAAGGATAAAAAAAAGGCGCGCACGCACGCGTCATACAGAATGCAGGCCCCAAGTAGATGTCAAGAGACAAACTCAACACAAATCATGCCTCAAACCTTGTCCTGACCTATCTCATATTAGAATCTGCCAAAGCAAAATGTTCTAGGGCCCCTTTACCATTATACTAGGCATTTTTGTTTTTAACTTGGAGAAGGAAGCTTTTCCAAAGCAGATGGGAAATGACAGGATAAATTACAATGGCCATAAGGTGCACTCCCTTTCTTCATTATTGCAATAAACTCTATACTTAATTGGGTCAGAACATTTCAACCTTCAATAGAATGATTTCAAACTATTTTCAAATGGCTGAATACATAGACAGCCCCTTAAACTTGTCCGAAAATTTCATTTAGACACCTCAACTAAGGATGTGACGTTCCATGAAAAGTGTGCCTATTAGACTCAAAACAGTGATACTACTTTCAAAATTCAAAAACATAAAACGCATACAGTTCATGCGCACTAACGTGGCAACGAAGACAGTGAAGTAATAACAAGTGGCATCCTAAATACTCAAAAAAAGTTTTGTGCAAAAAACAAAAGCTTTCATCGACCCCCTCCACTCATCCCAGTCATTTCTTTTCTCCGTTTTGAACCCTGTTTTCTTCTTGGCTCTCCTCATTTGACCATTGAAACCAATCCCGCCATCAAATCCCAACCCATCTCTCCTCTTTTCTTGTTACTTGGTGTTATCTCTTAACTGACTCTCCCATATCGGTTAAATTTTGTTGAATTAACAAACAAAAAGAAACCTGACATGAAGTCTATGAAACTTGAATCTCGGCTAACACTTCCTACACTACTAAGGCTGTTAGATAACTTCAATTTTAGACGTAGGTCGTCTTTCAAGTTCTCTTTCTGAATTAAGAATACTACAAAAATAGTAGAGGAACCAAGCTTCTTCTTTTCTCGATACAGATCTGCCTCCTCTGAAATTTTTAGTAATCTCAATGTCCACATAAAGGACAGCAGATATTTTCTAAACAAGGTTAAATCCAGTACCAGCTTTCTGTTTCTTTTTTTTTTTTTTTTTTTA